TGGGGTTGTTAGTTTTTAAAGTCAGCTATTACTCCTCGCCCTCTGAGACTACCTCCTGAGTGCCCAACCCCACAGACTAGCGTGAGACTCCCTGGAGTGCCAACCCCACAGACTAGCGTGAGACTCCCGTGAGACTCCCTGGAGTGCCCAACCCCACAGACTCGCGTGAGACTCCCGTGAGACTCCCTGGAGTGCCCAACCCCACAGACTACCGTGAGGGTGGGGATGTTCGAAGTCAAATAATTTGTTAGTATTGTTGCTGTGTGTTTCAAATTTGAAGGTGAAGCTTCGAGGAGGGTTAAGAGCCCTAGGCAGGGTCCTGCCGTCCAGGTGGGACATCCTTTCCACATCGAGGATGCAACTCGGCATTCATTGAAATAGTAACCCTGTTCATTACTTTAACAATAACCCTGTTCAGCAGAAACTGCTATAGCAGCCTTATGATACCCTGCCGCTATAAACTTCTTCTTTTTGGGTCGTCCGTCATTCTCCATTGCCGTCCGGGTAGCCCAATTGCGATCAGAAGTCACTGGTGTCTTAGAATGCATTGCAATGCCGGAAGTCCGACAAGCCCATACAACAAAAGCTTTTCGCAGAGCCAAACACGTCTCATACAACTCTGGAGAACGGAAGAATCCTAAACCCCACACCCCCCTTACGATACGCCGCAGTGAAGCGGTGGCTGCCAACAGGTGCAGCGAGCCATCCTTTACCTGCAGCCGGATGCAGACCTCACCAACGTCAACTACCGAAGACTTTTCTCGGACGTGTCTTGGACTGGTACTGCTGTTGCTTGCTTTGGACCTTTGGATAGACCGTGCCGGGTAGGTATCTGAAGTGTATGCAGTTGGATCCAAGGGTTACTGCCGCGGGCTTGAAGAGTTGATTGTTTTGTAGACGGGTGCTGACCGTTCCCTAATTTCTGATGTTAGGGTGATCTCAGTATTTCGTAAAGCTGGAACGCCCGCTCTGATGAAGTTTCCATAAAGGCGCGGTGTTAGTCGTTAGCCATCCCGACGTGCAGTCCCTCCCCGCCTCAACTGCATCTGCATTGTTATAGTGTCAAGCATCCGAAGCCGAAATCGTAGACCCCAACCCTAGCCGTTCAGGTCGTTACGAGTTATCATGATGTCAGCGCTGCGCGGTGAAGCCCGACACCAAGCTGCGCATGGTACCGGGGGCTTGGGAAGATCATAGCATGGTTTTCATGTCCCGAACCAGAAAGCAGCTCAAGAGTTGTGAAAGTTGGCTTACGACTACGGTTCAGGCTGGCTGAAGCGTCTGCACGGAACTTGTCGTTACGACCATGTAAACGTCATGGTAGCGCTCGCACGTTGTTCCGTTACCCATGTGCCCTGTCGTCCGGCTCTCATTGTACTGTTCTGCAGCTTCCCACCTTGTCAGCCTAGCCTGCAATATCTCCGTATTTTCTTGTCCGACATCTTATTGTCGCTTCTATGCCATGGGCCCTATGAGTAATTACTGCGTTGCATGCTCCCGAGGCTCAGTTATGGCAGCGTTGCGGGTGCACAAGCTGTGAAACCACAGGGCTGTGCACTCGGTCCCTCACTCCAAGGAGTGATGCTGAAATTCGTTTCAACACCGAATATCGGAGTTCGCGTCGGTTTCATCATGTTCGTTTTGCCTGCCTGGGATATTCTCATATGTAGACAGCTCGCACCCAAGGTAGGCAGAGGAGCATGAGCGCAGGCCCCCATGCCAGCGGAGAATCATGATATCCATGATTCCATAGTCACCTATACCGCTAAATGTCTTCACACCAGATGCTTAGAACAGCTGCAGGGGACCACCGCGGCGGCAATCGCGCTGCGTGAGTTTCACATATGCTGAATTGCATAGCATGGCATTCCTTCTAGTCGGCACCTGCGGACGACTCGGCTACTCTAAAATGGCGTCTCCTGTACTCCCAACTTGCCCGAAGCCGGTCACAAGGCTTTGCTGGAGCCTTTGCTACTAACGGGCCCAGACCCGGACTCCCCAGCTGAAGTCTGCGTCAAGCATGCTTCGTCAAGTCGAGAATCTGTCCGTTGTAGTCGGAAGGGGCAACAAAGACTCGGGGATGTGTCCGTCCGCAGGTGCATATACCAACTTGAGATATCAATGCAAGTCAATAGGCCGAGTTCGAAAATTCTCGCCCGTGTGCATCATTCCCAGCGACAGAGTCTCTACGGCCATGCTTTTGCAGCTCAAAATCCCTTAGACTCGACCCCAAACCCCACACTTCCCGACACTCTTGGACCTGGCAGAAGCCTGCAGACCCAAAGCTTGGGCATCTCGAGGTCGACGGTGCACCAGGATGGTTCCGGTGCTTGGATGCTGAGGGCAATGAGTACTACTACAACGAGGTGGGGTCGGTTGAAGGTTCACTGAAGCGTCACCCTGCCAATCTGGCAGTCTGTCAGTGCTCGAGGTGACGGGCGAGACGACATGGGATATGCCAGACATCGAGGATAGCTGAGCCAGCTCTCACCAGTGGTGCAGCTGGTGCCTGCAAGCTTCCACCTGAGCATCCGTCCACCCGCGGTGCAGAGACGGGGTTGGTCTCAGGCGCGGGTCAGAAATGATACTTTGCATTGCTTCCGGCATCATGGCCAGGTTCAGAACAACCCCTGTCTCAGTGCCACTTCCGCAAGCACCCCTGCAGCCAGCGGGGTGGACCCCACGAGCGACCAACCGCCACCGATGTCGGTGCAGGTCCATGCCTGCCACACCTCTGAAGTGGTAACCGGAATTTCCCGGTAGCAGGCCGACTTCTTGCCACAGCAGCCTGTTTGCACTTGGACATGCGTTGTCCAGCAGCCAGTTGGATGAAGGGCAACCAGGCAAAACAAATTGACTGAAGCTGCAACTCAAAACTCTCCGACAGCGTCAATCGGTAGCATCTTGCTTTGCCAGTCTTGGGTTCATGGCGCCGTGCGTGCTCGTTGCCGTTAGAAGTTTCACACTGCACAACTAGAGCCCCTCAGCACCCGGAAGACCTGCACATCAGAGCTAAAGAAAGCAGCTGCACTATTGTTGCCACCCGTGTCACGCGTCCATGATGACTACTGGCCTTACTTTCGTCACTCCCACACACACGCACACAATACCAGCACACGATCATGATCCTTAGTTGTCATGAGGTCATACGCGTTGTCTATATTATTATATGACAGTCTCCACTAGTTTTTTTGCTGCTTCCACTGCTCCGATGATGACTCATTGATTGCCCAGTGTGGGCAAGCCGCAGCGATGGCGGACGAAGACCTGATCAAGATGTCCATAAACCCAGGCACTGCTGGGGTCTCTCAGGGGGGCTAAAGGGTTCTTTGGGGTCCTTGTAACGAGGATCTCACTACTGGTGTTCTAGGGGGTCAGGTAGAGCTGGAAGATTGTTTTGCCATTCCGTGACGGGGATGCTTGCAGTTGCACAGCAGTAGCATCTTAATCAAGGGGAATAATAGTGGCAACAGCGCTAGTCACATTAGCATGCAAACTCGCAGCAACAAGAAGACTACAGTGGTAGTCATAAAAAAACAAGTCTCAGCCAGCATCGCAATCGTTTCAACAGTCATCAGAACTAGGACAGTTAATTGTGACAGCCATAGTGAGAACGCAGTGAGACTAGAAGTAAAGCCTGTGGCAATGTAGCCGCAATGTAGCCGCAGCAAGCAGCACAGTTGATTCTTTCGAAGAGACAGCTCTGCACCCTTGCCCTCCTTCTTGACAGCTGCGCGCAGCAACCAGGCGCCTGGGCCGCGGCGCAATTGGATCCGTCGGAAATTTGCATGGACAATTTCGATGAGACTCGGCGTGATGATGGTGCACGATACAAAGGTTGCTCTCACGACACTATCATCATGGCTTTTATCACTGTTGATGACGGCTGTTTTCTCACTGTCATCACGATAAAGCTGTTAAAGGTTTCTGATTACAACTATAGCTATGGTAAAACCTACCCCAAAACCCTGTTCTAGCAATTAATAAATTAAAGGCCGTATACTAAACCTTTATAGTACCCTTTTATAGCCTCAAATTAGAGGACCCATTCCTTCTGTGCCCAGGAGAAGACAAGGAAAGCCCTCGAGGCGAGGAGCCCGGTACGAGGGTGCTTTTGGGGGGACCGAAGATTAAGGGTTTAGGGTTTAGGGTTAATTTTTGCCATATAGGGTTCCTCATTATTATAGTTGGAAGAAACCGTCCTTCCCAAAAAACAGCAGGCACTATTCAAATGAGTAAGGCCCCTATTCTAGGCTGCGGCAGGGGATGAGGGTTTAAGGTGAAGGGTTTGGTTTGGGGCTTGTGTTTGGGGGTTTGGGAGGAGTTATATGGTGCGCCAACGGAAGCCCTGTACCATTTGTCATAACCCTAAACCCTAAACCC